GTGCACCAATGTGAGGATGAAAAGATGAAGATGATAATCCTCTCTGTTTATTCGTATAAAAGCACACGCTATATATAGGATGGTGGAACACCCTGTAAGGGAAATGTCCAACATGAGATCAAGGGAACAAGATGAGGAAAAGTCCCATAACATATAGCGTCACATAGATAGATGATAGAAGAGGAGAAATCCATATAACATAACTAAAGGAAAAATCCATGAACGATAGAGAAAAGAACGAGAACATATATAGAAGAAGATGAATCACACGATATGTCATATATGTATATGTAACAACAGAACGAAAGAAACTATACATATATGACGTGAGAAAAAGGTGATGATACCACCTAACAATAGATTAAGAAATCGTGATGTAAGAAAATCTAATCGATTTCGAAAAAAATTCAATTGTTCAAGTTTCTGGCGTAATGAATATTGATAATTGGGCGGAGGCGATGGTAAATTATTCATACACCAAGCTACATTAGTAGTAGTTCGTTGATATGGATTGTTGCTTTTTTCATATGTGTTATATTCTGAATGAGACGTTTGATATGCAGCCAAAATACTTCTTTCTATAGAAGTTATATTTGTATCATCTATAGTGGCTTGTTCACTAGTCATAGGAACGAAACACCAATAACGAGAATGGCATGCCAAGAATATCTTGATAGTCATAAGACATTCAATTGAATGTTGATAAAGTTTGGTATCTGATTCAGCAATCGTTCTAAATCAATGTCAGTTAATTGTATATTATGAATATAAAAATAAAATATAAATGAATACTTACAGATTCTCATGTTCATATCGAAGACGATCAGCTACAGTTTGACCAAGAAAGAAATCGCTCATAATACGACCATTATTTATACGATGTTCTATAATCAATATATAAAAATTCATGTTTATCGTGTTGAAGATAACTTACGCATTATGCGTTCTCGAATAGGTACGGCACATCGACCAATATAATCATATTGATGACAAGGACAAGTTAAAGCATAGATGACATTCGATGTAGTACAAGTTCTTATCTATAATAGATCAATTTATAAAAATCAGTTATTTTTTTTGAATCAAATATCTTACCACATTACAATTCAAATAAACTTGATAGCCACTGACAAAGTGATGGATCTGTCGAATAGAAAAAGACATGGCTTGTTCAGAACGATGTGTCATAGCTAATCGTTCGTAACAATAACCACAACTTTGATCTCGACATTGTTTCATACCATATTGAGCTGAAGGTAAAGCCAAAGAAAATAAACCTTCGTCAATACATCGTGGTATTGACTGACGAAATGAGCATGTCTTCATGAAAAAACATTGTGCTAAGCATAGATATACATATAATATTATCGAATTATATTAATATACAAACCATCCATTTGTAAATAGAATTCTAAAGCCATAAACCATTCTTCTATAGATAATCGGCATGAGTTTTGTTCATATCCTAAAATAAAATCCTTCAATGTCAATTGAGGAAGTAAAACTAATAATCGATTTAAATTGACAATTAAGATATCTTGATCAATATTCCATTTTTGTGCATAAAAATTGAATAGACTTTGTATTTCATAACCGATTTCATTATCATAAGTAAGTGATATATCAATTACACGTCCTAGATAACGATAATTTGTTCGAAATACAAGTTCTTTATGTGTTAATTGTCCATCTAAATAGACAAGTTTGTAAAATCATTATAGAAGACAAAGATATGTATATACTACTAGGTAAGTTGGCTAGAAGAGGATAGAATTCATCGAAATCATTTAGTTCAGGAAATACTGGTAGAATGATTCGAGAAAAAGACCGATTAAGAATAATTGGAGATCTTGTTTCACATTCACGAGTACAATTTCCAAGAATACGTATCGATTTTTCAAGTGATCGAAGTTGAAAATCTATTAACTTGACAAGTAGTTGAGATGTTGTCAATTTGTTTGATGAAACCATTTTGTTAAATAAAAAGTTAGTAAATTAGAAAGAAATGTTCGATGAATCTAAAAAGAAAACAAGAATACAAATGAGAAAATATCTTTATAAAATTAGTTTTTAAGTCATTTATTTTCAAGACAATAATTTTTCTGTTAGTATTCTTTTAGTTGTTTGTTAGTCTATGTTATGCTTGATCAGTTGTAATTTTTGAGTTCAATCGTTTCTTTGTGTTTCTTGATCGTTCTAATGAATGAAAAGTGAAGAGATAAGTTGAAATAATAGATTAATTTTCTTAATATTTTCTAATGTTTACTTTTTATTATCTTGTTTTTCAGAAAGAATAGTTTTGGTCGTTTATGAATTAGTTCGTTTTGCGCATTTCGATGGTTACGACTGCCAACAATTAATCGATGATCTATTGTTGGTTTATTCTTAAAGATATTATCATAGATTTGATGTATATCTCTTTTGATCGAATGAAATCGTTTTTCATGTGTATAATGAACGAATAATTTATCACTAAAATTTGTTTGTTGTTGCAGTTGACTTTTTATTAGATCTTTTAGTTCAATGTATTCTTCATTGATTGGATCATTCTCAATATTAATTTTATGTATATTAATAACTGTTTGTGATTGTTGAGATGTTGGTCCAGCCATAACTTTTTGTCGTATCAGAAAAAATTGTACTTCATTTTGAATCAATGGTAAAAATGGTGATGAATCAACATATTCAGAAAAGAAACGTTGAAATTGACGTTCAATAAATGAAGATGGATAACTAAAGAATATATCTTTGATAGTAATAATCTTTGTTCTCATAGCTATATAATAAATCCTTACCCATTATATAATAACATCAGTTTAATATGACGGCGTTCATTATTAAATACTTCAAATGTTGATGAATATCGAACAGCTCGAGTTAATGCAGTTTGTATAATATTTCCAAATACATGTCGTGGATGATCGGATATAAATGGTACAACATATGGTTCAGCAACTGGCTTTCGATAGACTGATGTTGAAAGAATACCATTATTGTTAGTCAAAAGTACATCAAGAAATGGAAGACTTTGACTAATTTTATAATTTAATTTAATATTAGGATGCCATGTATTTGCTGCATCTAATAATTCTTTTAATTCTTTTTCTGGTCTATTCCATGTCATAAAAATATCATCGATATATCTACAAAGAATATAAGAATTAAAATTAGTTTTTTTTAAATACTCTTGTATAGATACCTTCCAAAGAATTCATTTGTCATATTTTGTTGTTGAACTAATTCTTTTTGCCATTTCCACATGAATATATTAGCTAATGTTAATGTAAATGATGAGCCCATTGCACCACCAGTAGTTTGTTTATAAATTTTGGTACCATAAACAAACACATTTTCTTTGATTACAATTGAAGCTAAATCTTTTATTGTAATAGGATCAATGCCATTGACTTTTGTATATCCATGTACATGAAGAAATTCAATTACTATTTCCAATGATTCCTCTTGTGGTAACATTGTATATAAATTATGAATATCAAAAGTACAAAAAAGTGTCGAAGGTTTAAATACACCTTTATTAATATATTGATTCATTCGTCGAATTAAATGTGCGCCATCGATAATAGCAGTTACATAACATTGTTTATCAAATAGAGGTCGAATAATCTTATCAAGAAAATTGGATATATTCGTTGTTGGAGCACGAATGGTATTTTCAATAGGTCGAACTGGTATATCATCCTAGATTTTTATAGAATATAAGAGCAAACTATAAGAACTATCTATCATACCTTATGTGTTTTAGGATTGAAATATAAATGAGCTAATTCAACTTTTTTTCGATTAGGCATCATTTTATCATATTGCCATTTTAAGATAAGTTTCTTTGAATGAAGATTATTGAGAAGCTGAATAACTTTATTTAAGATTTCATTAAATGGATTCTCTGTTAATTCAACAAAAGCATTTGTATCAGCAAAGAACTTTTGTGCTTTCTTTTCAAATTCAATTGCTGAACCAATATAAAAGTTATGACTTTTATCAGTAAGACGAATAGCAAGGTTTTCTTTTTTAATTTTCTTTCGAATTGATGTCACAATTCGGTATTGTTCTTGTGCTTGAATTTGATCTTTGTATGATAGACGAGTAAGATAACTATGATGGAAATAATCCAGAAGTTGATTTGAATATTCTCGAAATATAGAATTTGTTCTTGGTATATGACAATATTCAATGAGATTATTTTGAACTTTAGTTAAAATATCATTATGTTCATTTTTAATTTGAATGTCTTGTTGTTTTCGAGAACGAAGTGCACTTTGATTCAATCGTATACAAGATGGACCTATAGTAATTTAACAAAATTAAGTTATTTCAAAGTCTCTATACAATATAAGTCTTACCTAACATAAGATACTGCCATTCAGTTGTAGTAAATGGATTTGAAACTAGATCAAGATATGGTTCAGATGAAACACTGATCATATTCTTTGTTGATGATGAACGTCGATGATTACGACGTAGTTTTCTTTGAAAAGCAAACATTTTATTTGACACATCTTGTTTCATTCGATTGGTACGATATGACATATATTGATTGATTTTATTAAGAAGAGTCACACCATCTATATTTGTATTATTCGATATGATCGATTCCAACTGTTTTAATACTTCTTGATATTGTAGATCATATTCTTGTAATTTAATTTCATAAGCAGATAAAAATAGATGTAACCATTTACGTTTTGCTTCTTTTATTATTTTGATACGTTCATTCTTCAATTGAATACTTTTTTGTGGATTATTCAATGATACAGAAGTAATAGGTGAAATAAAACTTTGTAAAAGATTGAAATTTTCTGGTAAGAATTGATAAAGAATTCTCATTTCCAACTTCAACTGTTCTTCATAAATTTCAGCTTGTTTTAGTCGTATTGTAAGTAATTGATCTACAGTTGAACACTGAGTAATTATAAGTTCATAGAGTTGCTTTTCTTGTACACAATCTTTAAATTTAATTAATCTATTCTTGTATCGTTTTGATAAATATTTCCTTTCAGAATCGATTAATTCTTTTAAACAATGATCCATTCGATCGAATGGTATCAGTAGAATTGGACAGAATGCAGAGTGTTCAATCAATTTCACTTGTTGTTCATCGATCTGTCGTTTGATATCTTCGATATAAGTGATAAGAAACTGTTGACATATATCAAAATCATTTGTTTTTGCCATCAAAATGAGTTGTTCCTTTGATTGATTACAAGAGAAAATAAACAATGATTAATTATTTATGAATATATAAATAACTTACTGGCCATTGATGTTGCTCGAGTCCAATTTCTAGATAGGATTGCCATAAGTTTAAATATGCTTCCATACAATATAATTGATCCAATATATTCAATCGTGTACGTAAGAAAGTTTGATCATCCTTTTTCTTGATGGAATAGTTTAAACTTTTACTTAACGTTCGATTAAGTAAGACTGATGATTTTGTCAAATACATGGATCGCCCATATATATATATACAATCGGTTGTGTACATATTATTAATAATAATTAAATACATACCGATAATTTTTATTTATCATATAGGCATTTTCCATGATGAAAGGTGTCATCGTCGTTGTTGTTGTCGTTATTGTAGACTGTTTGTTTGTTCTTTTCTTTAGTAAGGGTTGTGTAATTGATATTGAACTAGTTGAATTCAATCCTTGTAGTGATACATCTCGTTTTCGTTTGCTCAAGTTGGATTCTGCTGTTGTTATTGTTGTTAAAGTAGTATCGTTTGCCATTTTTGTAATATGATCATTTGTTCAATTATTCTGATTGTTATTAATTTGTTTCTTTTTATTGAGTAATTGTTCTATTTTAGCTTGTTGCATTCCACGTTTACGACATTTCTTTCGAAAACGTTGATCTCTTTGATTCCCATGACATTTTTTTATTCGTTGTTGTTGTTGTTGTTGATCCACTAGTGGACAGTTATCTTGAATAGTAGGATCATTTGTATTCATTTTTTGAAGATCGAAATTTATCTAGAAAAGAAGAAAGAAACAAAGAACTATGATAGTGTCTATAAAGTGAATTGTGTTTTAAATCTATAAATGCATTTAAGACGTTCGATTATCTTTTGACATCGTTGATCGATCAATTGAATCATAATTGGAGATAATTTTGGATTGTTATCGTCTATCAATTCATGAATAGGCTGTATTTTCTCCATCTGATCTTCAAATTTCTTTCTATATTCTTGTCGTTCATCATTAACTGATTTTATATAAATTTGAAATAGATTTGCTCTCGATTGTACAGCAATTTCTTTATATTCATTAAATAGTTGTTGACGAATATCTATACTTTGAATTGAATCAATTAATGTTGATTGATTGGGTAAATTAGAATAGTTCATTTGTTGTTTTATTAAACGAGATTCTTGTTCTGCCATTTCTTGTGCATATTTTGTTTGACAAATCTCTTTCAATTGTTGTTTCTAAATTAGTTAATAGGAGTTAAAACAAAAATTTATTTTAGAGAGAAATATACTTGATATTCATTTGAGCAATGTCTCAAATATTCTAATTTCAGTGCTCGTATATGATAATCATAATGTAAAAGTTCAATATGATGTTCGATATTGAGACGAAAGGATTGTAGATGTTGCTCAATATATGTTTCGATACAATTTTGTATGGTTAATGTATATCCAGAATAATGATTTGCTTTCATATTCAAATTATGCTTATAGCTCCTCAACTGAGCATTTAATTTAAGTAAGTGTTTATTGACAAAATTCAAATAAATCTCATTTTCATTGGCTGAATTTATATTTGTCACTGAAACCATTGCTGTTACTTGTTTTGGCCATATAGATGAAGTTAAAGAATATAAGGACTGTGTTTGTACTTGAAGAATAAGTTGTCCTGTACCTGATTTCAAATAAGCTGTCCATAATAGATGATAAGTTTGAATGACCATTATTTTATAGATCAAAATTGCTATTTCTCTTAATTGTTCTCTATCATTAGTTGTAGGTTTTAGTTGAAGTAATAGTTGTTGAAAAGATTTATGTTGTTTCATTAAAAAGGGTGTGGGTGTGGGTGTGGGTGTGGGTGTGGGTGTGGGTGTGGGTG